CAGAAGGACATTGGTTTCGCTTGAGACATCCTGAAACAACGTGTTCGCTTCGCTTGATGTTGTTATCTCAACATAAGAAAGAAGTAACCTCGATGGCGAACTTTTCCCGCCGTGATAATGAAGTTCGGCCTCCGCGCCCCCGCGCCCCCGACCAAACTCTTATTGGTCGACGATAAAAAAACTCTAACTACTTAAGGGGGGGGTACATTATTATCGTTGGCATGGGGTTACAGCTGGACCAAAGATCAACAAACAAATTCCTTCAAACACATGAGAATATCCACCGGCCCAAACACACAGGACATCCAAGGGTACCCTCCCCAAAATGCAGAAGAACATCCAGTATACATGGAGAACATTCAGGTCCCCTCCCCGAGCCGACATGGATCTTATACCTTGGTCCGACAGTTGCGATAAACAGAGACGAGGGAAACCATGTTGCTGAAACCGGTGTTGCCTGTTGCGAAAACCGCTGTCGTATGTTGAGGTAGCCGCTGTCGTCTGTTGCCGAAACCACTGTTCGCTTGTTGAAGCCGCTGTTCGGTTGTTGAAGCGGTCGGTCGCTGACGCCGTCGCTGCTGGTGTTGAATATGGAACTGGGATGTGCGGCTGTATATTCTGCACCAGTGCGATTCGTTTCGGTATCTCTTGTGCTCATGCAGATCAGATCGTGTGGCACGCCGCCCGTCCCGATCCAATGCGTCGTTTTCCGACGTTCGTTCGTGGGGCCTCATGCCAAAGCATCCTGGGCAACAGAAGCAAGAGCGTCCAAGCTGCAGCATATTCTGTTCGCAGACCATGGCAGTGTTTCCAGTTAAGGGTGCTGTGCGAGAATTCGGAGATATGCTTCGCGGACGCATTTCGGCACAGACTTCAGAATATGAATCCAATCCGGGTGCGCAATTGGACGGCAACGAGATGGCCCCACCATTCGGGGAGTCTTGAGCCGGGATAGAAATTACTGATCATAATCTCTACATTCGATCGTGTGGAGTAGGACGTATCACTGGCACCATGTAAGACAATGTGGCAACAACCGACAGCAGCCCAAACAACATCGACGAACCGATGAAACTAACGACAAACCCATCACGAGGAGGAGTGAATGGGGGAGGCACGAAGGTGGATGAGGAAAAAAGGCTATGTGGACCGACTTTTTCCTTGCCGCTGAACGCCAGACGCGAAACGATACAGGCCCGGCGACCTTGGCTTTTGACGCCTGCCCCAACCCTCTCCGCCCCTTCCTGTCATCCTCCCTCACTCATCCCCTTTCCTCCTCCTGTCCCCTCCCTTCTCCCTCTCATATGTGTCGCTTGCGAACACTGTTTTCCATGTACCTTTCAGGGTGGTGGTCCCCCAAGGGACCAGGGACCAGGCCCACTTGAGGGGGCAGGTGCCAACAACATCTGGATACGCATTTCGAGATCTCTGCTTTCCTTCCCTCTTCCCCTTCTCCTTCCCCCCGTCCTCCCTCCTGGGTATGTGGCGGCTGCGAACTCCGTCCGCGAATAGTGACCGCGCGTGCAGCAGCAGAGTTCGCGCCCGGGAACGCTGCCGCTGCTTCTGAGGGGAACGACCTGGAGGGGGACCGGCTCCGAGGGGCAACATTGACTTGGAAACGGCGATGCGCCGCTGATGGATTTACCCAAGCGGGGTAACATCGACTTGGGATCGGCAATGCACCGCCGATGGATCGGCCGGCAGCCGCTGGTTTCGCCCGGGGCTAGTTTCGCCCGGCTGGTTTCGCCCGGCTGGCTTCGCACGGCGCTGGTTTCGCCCGGGCTGGTTTCGCCCGACGATGGTTTCGCCCAAGCTGGTTTCGCCCGGGCTGGTTTCGCCCTGCTGCTTTCGCCTGGCTGCTTTCGCCCGGCTGCTGGAGGAGGTGCAGGAGGAGGAGGAGGGATGAGGAGGAGGAGGAGGAGGATGAGGAGGAGGAGGAGGAGGCGGAGGAGGAGGAGGAGGAGGAGGCGGAGGAGAGGAGGAGGAGGAGGAGGAGGAGGAGGAGGAGGAGGAGGAGGAGGAGGAGGAGGAGGAGGAGAGGAGGAGGAGGAGGAGGAGGAGGAGGAGGAGGAGGAGGAGGAAGGAGGAGGAGGAGGAGGAGGAGGAGGAGTAGGAGTAGGAGTAGGAGTAGGAGGGAGGAGGAGGAGGAGGAGGAGGGCGGAGGAGGAGGAGGAGGAGGAGAGGAGGAGGAGGAGGAGGTGGGAGGGGAGGTGCAGGAGGAGGAGGAGGAGGAGGAGGAGGAGGAGGAGGAGGAGGAGGAGGAGGAGAGAGGAGGAGGAGGAGGAGGGAAGGAGGAGGAGGAGGAGGGAGGAGGGAGGAGGGAGGAGGGAGGAGGAAGGAGGGAGGAGGAGGAGGGAGGAGGAGGAGGTGGAGAAGCAGGAGGAGTAGGAGGAGGAGGAGGAGGAGGAGGAGGAGGAGGAGGAGAGAAGGAGAAGGAGGAGGAGGAGGAGGAGAAGGAGGGAGGAGGAGGAGGAAGAGGAGCATGACGAGGATGATGGGGGGTAGGAGGAGGAGGAGGAGGAGGAGGAGGAGGAGGAGGAGGAGAGGAGGAGGAGGAGGAGGAGGAGGAGGAGGAGGAGGAGGAAGAGGGAGGAGGAGGAGGAGGAGGAGGAGGAGGAGGAGGAGGAGGAGGAGGAGGAGGAGGAGGTGGAAGAGGAGGAGGAGAGGAGGAGGAGGAGGAGGAGGAGGAGGAGGAGGGGGTGGCGGGGGAGGAGGAGAAGGAGGAGGAGGACGGACAGGACGAGGAGGAGGAGGAGAAGGAGGAGAAGGAGGAGGAGGTGGTGGAGGTGGGGGAGGAGGAGGTGGAGGTGGAGGTGGAGGTGGTGGAGGAGGTGGCTGAGGGAGGGCAGGACGGAGGGAGGAGGGAAGAGGGTTAGGGCCGCCGGACCTGACCCGACCCGCCCGTTAGGGTCCGCCCGTCCCGACCTGACCCGCCCGTTAGGGTCCGGCCGACCCGACCCGACCCGACCGTTAGGGTTCTCGCGTGCTCTCTCGATTATGCACCACACTTTTATGTCCCGCCCGCCCGACCTGGCCCGCCCGTTAGGGTCCGCCCGTCCCGACCCGATCCGACCCGGCCGTTTGGGCCCGCCCGACCCGACCCGCCCGTTAGGGTCGGCCCGCCCGTCCCGACACGACCCGCCCGTTAGGGTCCGCCCGACCCGACCCGACCCGACCGTTAGTTAGGGTTCTCGCGTGCCCACTCGATTATGCACCATACTTTAATGTCCCGCCCGACCCGACCCGACCCGCCGGTTGGGGTCCGCCTGACCCGTCCCGACCCGACCCGCCCGTTAGGGTCCACCCGACCCGACCCGAACCGTTAGGGCTCTCGCGTGCCCACTCGATTATGCACCCACACTTTAATGTCCGCCGCCCCGACCCCGACCCGCCCGTTAGGGTCCGCCCGCCCGTCCCGACCCGACCCGCCCGTTAGGGTCCGCCCGACCCGACGGCGACGGCGACGACGACGACAACGACGGCGGCGGCAGCGGACTCGGCGAGACCAGCCCCGGCCAGACCAGCCCCGGCGAAACCAGCGGGGCGAAACGCGGGCGAAACCAGCGTCGGGCGAAACCAGCGCCGGCGAAACCAGCGTCGGGCGAAACCAGCCCGTGCCGATCGGCCTAAGGGGTGACATTGACATGGGATCGGCGATACCTCGCCGATGGATCGGCGGTAGGCCCTCGATACCGAAACCGCGCATTCCTGGGCGGGGTGGGCTGGCTCAAGGGGAGGGAGACATCGACCTGGAATCAACGATACGTCGCCGATGCATGTGCGACAGGCCCCTGATAGCGAAACCGCATGCTCCAGGGCGGGCTATCGGGCCCCCGATCGGCGACCAGTGGGCGCTGAAGGGTCGATGCGCCAGGCATGCGATTAGAGGCCTCCTTGATGGGGTCGGAGTAGATGGGGTCGGAGGATCGCGCCGCATCGCCGATGCATCGGCGATGCATCGGCGATGTATCGTCGACGTCGGCGTGGAGAAATTTGGCTCCGCATCGCGCCGCATCGTCGATACATCGGCGATGCGGCGCGATCCTCCGACCCCTTTCTACTCTGACCCCATCTGGGAGGCCTAGAGATGTCCTGCTGGACCCCCCCTCCTCTCTTGCCATCGCTCGGCCGTCCCTTCCCCGTGCAGTTTTCGGGTTCCTGTGTGTGTATGTGTGTATGTGCGTGTGCTTTTTTGGCCTGGTGGCCGAGGATACCCCTCGATTTGGAGGAACAAGGCGGCATAAACATAAACTGTTGGCGCTCCGCGCGGATCTTTTTGCATCTGCGCTGCACCCCCCTCCCTGGCGCGCGGAGCGCCCCAGGGGCGGCGCCGGAGGCGCCGCTGGGGGGGGCCCAGCGCGGATCCGAGAAATCCGCGCGGAGCGCCAACAATTTGTGTTCATGGAGTTTTCTCTCCTTCGATCGCGGGCGCTCGCCAAGAAAAGTGCACACCTCCGAGCGATGACCCCTGAGGGGTGCCAGCGAATGTCAGACATGTGGCAAATCCCATGTGTTTTTGGACCCTGACCCCGCCGATCTGCGTGAGGGGTGCCGCCGAACTTCAGAAATGTTGCAAATCCCTGATATTTTTTGGACCCTGACCCGCACCCCCGACACGTCGTGACTTTTTCGCAACGTCGACCCCCAGAGGTCTGGACCCCCCCTGGCCGTTGCCCCCGAGCTCCGCGCGCCCATATGGGCGAGCTTTTGTACACATTCGCCGACTGATCAAGGATGCTCCTCGATGGCCCTCGCCCAAGGAAGAATGCACACGTCCGAGCGATGCCAAGTCCGAGAAAAGTGCACACGTCTGAGGAGGAGGAGGAGGAGGAGGAGGAGGAGGAGGAGGAGGAGGAGGGGCAGGAGAGGAGGAGGAGGAGGAGGAGGAGGAGGAGAGAGGAGGAGGGGAGAGGAGAGGAGGAGGAGGAGGAGGAGAGGAGGAGGAGGAGGAGGAGGAGGAGGAGGAGGAGGAGGAGCGGTGACCCCCCCCTGGCCGTTGCCCCCGAGCTCCGCGCGCCCCTGGCGGCGAGCTTTGTACACTTCCCTGGGCCCGCGGCGCTCCTGCGCCGCGGGCGGCCCCGCGGCCTGCCCCGGGGGCGCCCATACGGCGCGCTCCGCGGGAGCGCGCGGCCTCTCGAGATAGACAAGCGCGTGCCACTGCTCGCAAAGCGACTGCTCGCACATGGCCTGGAACTTAGTGGGCCCTGGAAACGACAAGGCCGTTTTTTTACCGGTTCCGTTTTGCCGTTTTTTTGCTGGTTCCGACGCCGTTTCTTTACTGGTTCCGTCGCCGTTGTTTGACCGGTTCCGGCTCCGGTTCCAATCCTGGAGCCGTTTTTTTGCCGTTTCCGGTCGCTGTTTTTTCCCCATTTCCATTTTCAAGGGGCATTTTTTTGGAAACGGTGAAAAAAACGGCCCTGCCGTTTCCGGGGCCCACAAAGGCCTGGAGCCCCCGCGGGGGATTTACGACGTGTTGTGTCGAGGCAAGCAGCTGTTTTTTGTTTCTCGGACGCTTGCGAGCAGGCACTTCACGAGTAGTGGAACGCGCTCGGTGACGAGAGGCGCCCCGCGCGGAGCGGGCTTGAAAAAATGCTTCAAAAGCTGCCCACTGCCGCACCGCCTCTCGCTCTCTCGGTCCCAATGGTGCAGGTTTTGTCCTGCCTTGGAGGGCCTCCGAGGAAACTCCTCCTCCTCCCTCCTCCTCCTCCTCCTCCTCCTCCTCCTCCTCCTCCTCCTCCTACAAAGCACCCATGGTTTGCTACCGAACCCTCTGAACCTCGCACAAGGCGCGGTCCGCCAAAGACTCGAGGCAGGACATCTGGGCGCGGCGGCGAGTGCCACGCCGGGAAGGCCCCCCCCCCCAAACCCAAAGCAACGGCAGCGGGCGTCTTTCTGCAGACTGCGGCACTCAGAATCCTATAGGTTCCTGGCTCCAGTACAGGTTCGGCTCCTCCTCCTCCTCCTCCTCCTCCCACCTAGCACAGAGCCTCCTCACCCGATTCCTCGCTTCCTCTCATCCAGAGTCCGTGCCGCCTCCTCCTCCTCCTCCTCCCCCTCCTCCCCCATCCTCCCCCTCCCTGACGAAGAGAACGGTCCCCAGACACGAGCGCGCCGTAAAGGCAAAAGCAGGACGGCAAGTGTGTGTTCGCTATGTTCGGCCCCAAGGGGGACCCTCGCTGGGCCCCGGGATGGTCAAGCAACGAGTCGGGACGAGAGGCCGGTCCTGGGGAAAGCGTCGGGACTTCCGGGGACGCCGTCGTGAAACAATCAGGGCGTAGAATTTTTGTTTGTTGGATGACGCTCGACACAATGGACGAACATCAAGACGTAGAATGTCTGGATCATGGGTCTTTTCGCGCCGCACGCGTAGGTGACACAAGGGCCTTCCTCGGGCACAAGACAGCAGTGGGGGGACACCTTCCATCCTCCTAGCCGAAAGAAAACAACAACAACGTAGGAGGATTTACTTCAAGGATCTGTCAAACAATAACCCCCTTGTGAACAGATCTGCCCTCCGCCCGTGCAAATGTTTCACACTTCCAGCGCATTGCTAATCACACAAATCTCGTCGACATCTTACGCGAGACCTCCATTTTGAAACGGAGCCGTAGATGACGAAATACATGTTGTTCGCACCATTCGAGCCAGTCTTTGTCGCGGCTGTTCGTTATGTCCCAGTTGTCGACGTAGAGGTCGGGGAGCTAGTCCGAGGCCCAGTGCGCCAGCATCTCCGCGAGGAGCAGGAGCTCGCGATCAGCATCAGCACGATCGGTCTCGGTGTCGTCGGGGGTGGGAGAGGCGGCAAGTAGAATCGGGTACGAGCGGATCGATGAGAGCGTTTCAGGGCGAAGGAGTCGCTGACCGTCACCTGCAGTAGGGTCAACTCCATCCCGCGCCATGGGGAGGTATGGGAACCAGGCCTTCAAGCGCTTGACAATCGTGAGGTCAAAGTCGTCTGTGTAGGTGTTCTTCTAGATTTCACTGAGGAACGTGGCTTGCAGGGATTTCTTCGGGGGCTCGCCAAGGCGTTGACGGCGGGGGCGAAAAGCTTCACAAACAGCTGCACTCCCACTACGGTAAGCGCGAAGGAGCAAGAGGCGTGCCCGTTCAGGATTGTGCAACTGCCGCTTCACGTGCATGAAGATGGAGCCCTTGCCCATGGGGAAGGTCGAGCCAGCAGCTGCATCATGGAGATGTTGGGCAATCGACTTCGAAGAGCACCAGCAAGAAGGCGACTACAAGCCTTGCACGTAGTCGACCATGGGGAGGGCGATGACGGCGGCCTCCTTCAGTGTCTAGTAAGCAGCACGTCAAACAGAGATCTTGGAAGAGGCCGCGCGCCAGATAATAACACCCAAGAAGGCCTCAGCGCCGGTGGGAATGTCTGCTCCTGCCTCGAGCTTCATGCTGATGATGTCCATCTTGGTGAACGCCGAAGGGGCAGACCGAATGATTTCGTGAAGTAGTGTATCTCGCGGCTGGGAACGAGTCCAGGAGCAGGGAAGAGTTGTCCAACATATGAGAGGGTGGTCAGTGACGAAGAGCTGTACAGCACGATCGGAAGTGAGGGGGTGAGATCGAAGTGGAACGGAGAGCCCCCCACCGGGAAATCGGATTCGGTTTCGTGTTCGTGTCGTGCGTGCGGGCGAGGCGAAGCTGCGTGGGCGGGCGAGAGGAATTAACTCTGCTGTCGCTAGGGGTCCGCCAACACAAATGTTTCCCCCCCCGGCCTTGTCAAGCGGTAGCCCACATTGTCCCGTCGGTGGCCCGCCGTTGTCCCGTCGGTGTCCTGTCGTGAGATCGATAGTGCGATCGACTGTGAGACCGATCGTGAGATCGATCGTGAGACCGATAGTGAGATCGATAGTGAGATCGATAGTGAGACCGAATGTGAGATCGATTGTGAGATCGATTGTGATATCGATTGAGATCGATAGTGAGACCGAATGTGAGATCGATAGTGAGATCGATAGTGAGATATATTGTGAGATCCATAGTCTGATAGTGGGATCGATAGTGAGATCGATGGTGAGATCGATAGTGAGATCGATTGTGAGACCGAATGTGAGACCGAATGTTGGATCGATAGTGAGATCGATAGTGAGATTGATCGTGAAATTGATAGTGACACCGAAAGTGAGATCGATTGTGAGATCGAATGTGAGATCGATAGTGTGATCGATAGTGAAATCGATTGTGAGATCGATTGTGAGATCGATAGTTAGATCGACTGTGAGATCGATAGTGAGATCGATTATGCGATCGATTGAAGGATCGTTAGAGAGACCGATTGTGATATCGATTGTGATATTGATTGTGATATCGATCGTCAGTTCCATAGTGAGACCGAATGTGAGATCGATAGTGAGATCGATAGTGAGATCGATGGTAAGAACGATAGTGAGATCGATAGTGAGATCGATAGTGAGATCGATAGTGCGGTCGATAGTGAGATCGATTATGAGACCGAATGTGGGATCGATGGTGAGATCGATAGTGAGATCGATAATGAGACCGAATGTGAGACCCAATGTGCGATCGATTGTGAGATCGATCGTGAAACGGAATGTGAGACCGATAGTGATATCGATAGTGATATCGACTGAATCAGATCGATTCTGAGATCGGTTGTGAGACCGATTGTGACATCGATAGTGAGATCGATAGTGAGATCGATCGAGTGATATCGATAGTGAGATCGATAGTGGGATCGATCGCGAGATGTATTGAGTGACACGTTGGTTCCTCCTCCCCCCCTCACCTCCTTATCACCCGAAGGGTGGTCGTACAGGTATTATGCTGCATCGGGGCGTGGGCTTCGCAAATACTTTGCGAACGCTGAGGCCACTTCGCCGAGGGGGCCGCCCACTGTGTGCGCTCGTCGGCACCAGGGCCCATGAAGACCCCGAGGTACTTGGCATGTCTGTTAATCTTGAAGAGAGCCCAGTCGATGTGTAATTTGGCTGAGCGTGTC